GTAAAAAATATGTAAGAGTGGGTCATTCCAGTGGCTGGAAGTTGGAAGGAATTTGACTGCCATTCGGTTGATAAGGGCCATTTTAAATGGCTGCTACTGTAAAACCGTCAGTTGTTGACAAAGGTGGCTGTTGGACATTAAGTCAGAGTTTAACTCTTTAATAGAATAGCTGTTAGCCTGCAGATGCTTCGCTTATGTTATCAGGAAGAAGCAGTACCGTCTAAAGAGGCGGGATTTCATGAAACGTTTCAAATCACTGGCTGTTTATTTTTTCGGGCTGGTTGAACCTTCATCATGAGAAAAGTTAACATGACCGCAGAAACAGATCGTAGTAAGAGAGAATCTACAGGCAGCAGGACGGCAGAAGGAGCATGGACTCTATTAGGGGCCTCCTAGTATTAAATCAGCATACATACAATGCTCAGAATTTGCACAGGGAGTAGTTTATGTGTGCGTGTTTAAAATAAAACTGCTTGAATGACTATGAAATTGTCATATGTGCCCCTATAGATACTTTGCTCCAACTATAATACTATAATACTAAGGTAGCCCCCTTTAGAAACTTGCAAAGCAGGTAGAAGTAGCTGCATGTCACACATTTCCCATTTATAATCATTTCCCAATTCAAAAGTATAAGTAAAAATATTTGCTTTGGGAAGCGAGCATTAGGCACATCACCTGATCTGTCAGATCTGAATCACCTGACATAGGCTTGAAATACAAATTAAATGACAGTTATTCTAAATAATCAAACCAGATCCGAGACACAGGGGACCCCTTTGCTTTTCAGCAGAATGAGATTAGACTGATGCATGTGACATTAACAATATCAGCAAACAAATATATGAAAGCATGAATGAAAGGGAAACAGAAAGCGATTTTCACAGCCAATTTGAGATTGCAGTGTGTGCGCGTGTGTAGGAGATTCTGGCAAACAGCACACAGAGAAGGCTGGCAGCGGAGGCAGCGAGGCTCACAGGCTGCAAAGCAATTTCACTGTTTGGCAATAGTGTTGTCTCTGTGTGTGGATTAGAGCTGACACCAGAGCAACTGAGTCATGCTAAATGTAGTACAATCACAAGCTTTAGTTCCTGATCTAAAAATCCCACACTGCCTCTGAGATTCATGAAAGAGAAGCTGCAAACTGGGCGCAGAAGATGGTAGCAAACAAGTGGAGCATTATTTTGCCATATGAGCGAGGCGCTGCGACATGGACGAAAACAAAGCAGGGATTAAAAGGAAGTAGCAGTATGGGAACCAAGCCACGGCTTTAACAGGGAGAACTCAGGTTTCCTTTTTTTTTTTACTTCATAAAGGTTAGAATTTCTGTAATCTGCACTTCACAAGCGCTCCTCATCATGACCTCGCAGTCCGGACTCATCCTGTAGTTCTAACCTCTCTCCAGGTACATCACTGGTCTGTGAGTTGTCTCTGGGCCAGGCAGGACCTGGCAGAACAGACCCTGACCCGTCCTTTTCACGCTCGCCCGTGGAAATGCCATCTGGCTGGTGTGAATGATTACCACAGCAACGGCCGGGCGACCTGCAGCCAGCGGGAACCAAGGTCACTCTACCTCAGCGCTTCGCACTTTCCCTGCCCTCTTTTCATCAGCCTGCAGGTGAATTATTCATCCTGTGAAACTCAGGGGTGCAGATCCTCTGCACAAACACCAAACAAAAATAAATAAATAAATGCACACTCAGTTTTCTGAAATAATAACTTGTAATGAGAAAATGAACGTTGAAGGATAAATAGCAGGAGAGAACGGCACGCTAGGAGCAGGGAGGGTGAAACAGCTGTAGTGACAACCATGATGGAATGAGAAATAAGCACTTTCGCTGATTTTCTGACACATGTAGCAGGAGGTGTCACATTGAAGCCACAGGCATCCTCACTACCAGAAGCCTGCAGGTTGACTTCTAACAGAGCAACAGTGAGTCAGATTGAAACCATTGAATCAGTGCGACTTTCATTCTGTCATGTATCAAACTCCAGACCTCCAGGGCCGATGTCCTGCAACTTTTTGACACCTCTCTGCTTGACTGCACTTGAATCCTGAAGGTTAGCGATGAGCAGAACTTGAACGCATGAGGAGGAAATGCAGGGTTGTTGGACTTGCAGCATATCTAGAAGCTGTGGAGCTGGGGTCCTGCTTCTTCTAGATTTCTTTCTCATAGGCGACCTGACCAAGACGGCAGGAGAGAGTAGTTCAAAGCATACCTGGACACAATGCACACAGTCACTGCTGAGATCTCAGCATGGCTTTGAATATATTCAGGGACACTGATGTCTGCAGATGCTGTTCAGGCTGCAGGAATCATGCCAGACATAAACCCAACCAACTTTCATTTCTGACAATAAAAATCTCAGCTAAACAGAAGCTTTTACTGGTTTCAAAATCAAAACGAGCTAAAAGTAAGACCCAATTCAGCCCAGGTATGTCTTATTGTGCGTACATTCATGCTGTCTGACCAATGGCCCATTCAAGATGCCTAACTTAGAATGAAATGGAAAACAAACTGTAGAAAACAATTGTCCAACTATGAATGTGTGTGTTTTAGTAAAACAGACCCGTCATGTTAGGATCTATAACGAGTTACATATCCCCCTCTTCTACAGAAAGCCTCACCAGGTAATTTGAATCCAACTTTTCATGTTTAGTATATTACAGAGCAGATGGAAATAAAAAGGCTCAAAAGGTTTTAATTTTAAAGTACAAACAAAAATGGTGGCCTCTAAGCATTCCTTTTTTAGCAATGCGGTTATTCAGTTATTACGACCTGCATTTTTCTCTCTACTCCCAGCTCAGGTGTTTTTAAACTTCTCCATCTGACTGGTTATGATATTCAGTCTCCTTTCTAATAATGTCTTCAGAAGTGATGCACCAACTTACTGGCCAAAGATTATTCATAGTTTTTCTAGTTCCATAGAAAACACAAACATTCCCAATATTTTTAGACTATAAACATCAACGATCAGCCTATTAGGTCGGAATAATCTGGTATTTTTCTTAGATTTCAAAACTGCTTTAAATATCAAAGCACCTGCAGCACATACTTTTACTTTTCTCTGTATGGAACACCGCAAAAAAAATTGGAAATTCTGTCCAGAAAGACAAGGAACCAGTGTAGTTTGCTGCCTTTTATAACTCAGGAAGACATTCATCCATAAAATAGCAAGTATGCTTCCAGTGAAGACTCTGTTAAAGTGTAGGGAAAGCGCTTTAAACATGAACTAAAAGTTTCTGGTCCGTTTCTTTTGGCCCAGCTGCTCCTAAAGCTTTCCAGGAACTGTGGTTAGGTTTAGGTCCAGGGCTGCTGAGACAGCTTCATATGAACATCTATAACCATCTAGCAATCCTGAGGAGTGAAACAGGCATCCAACCAGCAGAGACAAGATTACACTGCAAAAAGGAACTGCCAAGAGTTATAGCTTAATATCAGTTTTTATGAAGATTTAATTTTTGTTTAGCATTTTATTTTGACCACAGATCCCACCTAAATATATCAGTTTGACTTTATCTGTAGGGTTTGTTCCATAATATCCTCATCCTGGCTGATTAGGAGGCTGAAAAAAGGATAAAATTTTTACAAGAAATAAATATGAGAGATTTTAATTAAGTGTCTTTGTTGGGCCAATAGTTTAAGCTTATATACCAGTTTATACATAGAGCTAATGGTAAAATCAAACTTGCTGGGAAACTACACCAGTCTAACCAGTTTAATATGGTTTTATGTCCTAATCTCTGTTGAATTATAAATGGGAGAACAACCCTAACCTAAACATAACATAAGTGTCTGAGCTGTTAAATGTTTTTCTTAATATTTTTAAAATATATGATATTCTTAAATCATGGTAAATAATCTATCAGTTTGTTTACTGAGTGCAGACAGCAACAATAGCGGCTGCTCCATCCCCACCCCCGGCCCTGTGGTTCCATCTCAGCCGGAGGAGGGGACGGTCCAGCCAGCGGCACGGAGGACACAGAGCCCCCGGGGTCTGGTGTCTGATTCCCGGGCTGTTTGTCCGCCTGAGTCGGGCGGGACCGACGCGCTGTTGTCATTTCTCATGTTACAGAGCATCAATCAGAGGGTGCCCTCTCTCCGGCTGAGGCTGATTTACAAACATTAGCGGGGAATACAATTACACAGCCCCCACCGGCAGCCAGCCTACCGACCGAGGAGAGCAGCCCTATGCGGCTGGAGGAGAGAGGAGGACCCTGACAACAGCAGAGGCAGCCACGCAGCTGAAAGTTGGTACTGACAGGCAGCTTCATGAGGCTGATCCAAAGAAAAAGGCTAAAATAACAAACTGCTCACCTGCCACAGTCTCCACGCCATTATTCAGAGGCATTCTGCCGCCGCCGCTCCAACAACCTAAAGGCTCAATTAAAAAAAAAAAAACAAAAAAAAAACACTGCAACGCTGTCTAAATTCAATTACTCTACATAGCCTATATCCTCTAAAAAAAGAATAACTTCCTGAATCATAAATCAAACTTTGTCTGCGGTCCTGAACGCTCACAGATCTAACTTCAGTCCCCGCAGCCGCAGCGCAGCGGCCGCTCGACAAAAGCCGCATAAAACACGAAGCTGCCTGAGAAAAGTTGCAGCTACGTCCGGGAGCAGCGATCCACAGACGCCTTAAAAGTTTCCCTTCGCCTGATGCCACCGAGCTGCTCGGTGAGGATGAAGAAAGCAGAAATAAAGAGCAAAGAGAGCAGAAATCAGGAGCAAAATAGAGGCAGGAAACCAGCGGCGCTGTCCGCGGTGCTGATCCCAGATCGGCGCTGCTAACACTGAGCCTCGGTCGGTCGCTCCACCGCCGATCAATGATTGAACTGAACAAAGGCAGAACACGGATCAATTTCTAATAACTATCAATGCAAACGGCGCCAACTCTCCGCGTATTTTCGCCCGAATCGAGTTAAGAGGCATCGGGAAGCTTTTAGGAGACACGCCGCTGCAGAAAAACGCAGAGAAAGGTGAGAAAAGCACTAACCTGAAGCCGCCGTAGATCAAATTTCTTCCAATATTGAAACATCGATCCTACATCGGCGGCCATCTTGGGGGATATTGAGGAGATTTTTTTTCGGCGGCTGCAATAAATATGTGGGCTGGATTCCCCCTCGTTAAACAGCGTTTACGGTCACCGGTCCCACTTTTCTCTCTTTTTTTTAAGGAAACTATTTAAAACTAGAGTCCAACGATGTATCTGACAAGTATGTCAGCATGTTTGTTTTCCTCTTTAGGGCCCAATAAAAGGGGTGGGGGTGAACTATATTTACCCTCCGTCTTTAAAAATATATAAATAAAAGAAAAAAAGGTAAAAATGTATCCCTCTCTTATTTTTTTTATTATGCTTTGGCAAAGTTATCAATACTGATGTAGAACCCAGCTTTGATCAATACGGTCTGGAAAAGAGAATGAGATGAAGTGTAGATAAGTTCAGTTCTGGGAAAATAGCCAAGCCTACTTTTTTTTCTTTTTCTCCTGTTTTCCCGCATGTTTGTAGGATCAGCCGGAACGTTACAATTAGACACAGGGGGGCAAATTAGAAAAGCTCCATTATCAATACATGCGTAGGGCTCTATTAGTAGTACGTCACCAAGTGCACGTCCAATTTTTATGTCAACTTGGAGATAAAAATACTCACATTTATTAATAAAATGCTATGAAACTTTTTAGATTCTGATAGTATTCATTCCTAAACATTCTTTAGTAAAGAGGTGCACAATTTTAAAAATAGATAGATAGATAGATAGATAGATAGATAGATAGATAGATAGATAGATAGATAGATAGATAGATAGATAGATAGATAGATAGATAGATAGATAGATAGATAAAATATGCATCAGAGAGATGATTTATGGCAGCAACATCCTAACCAGAGTTTATCCGTCACAAAATGGACTAACTTAATAAAGTATGAAGGAGCTCTTTTTCTGCTCAAAGTGAGTAATTCCTTTGGTCAAGGAGCATGTGGTTCTGTGCTGCTACTATGCTGCTGTCAGGTGCTCCCCCTGCTGACGCCACACAGTCAGGAGGTACAGTACCTGCAGCAGGACACAGCATGATTTCCTTTCATCTCCATCCTATATGTTCAGTTCTCACAGAGCAAAGGTGCCACGGTGCTGCAGCTGATCCTCTTGCAGGGGCCTTGCAGCATGAAGACGCTTTCTATCTCTGATGAAAGATCTTTTCAGATTGGAAATACATCTTCACTTGATTCAAATCCAAAAATACTCCAATGGATAAACACATTATCCTGACAAATTTGTGAGCCAAAAAAAATAAAAGGAAGATTATTAAAAGGTCATGTGTTGGCCATGTGTTCGCTACAAGCGAACTACATGTAAGGAAAATGTTCTTCAATCAAATGTATTTGTTCTTGGTTTGAGTATGTAACTAAAACAATCTGCCAATGGAAGTCGATTTCTACTCTTAAACAATATAACATCTTTTTTTATTTTGTTTCAAGTGCAGCAGATCTAATTATTTTAGAAGCCAAATGTACTGCACTGCAAAAACAAAAAAGTAAATATTTCTTATATTAAGTGGACTTACCCTTAATTTGCAAATGGAATGAGATTTTTACCCTTTAAATAAGATAATAAGATAAAATGCACTGAAAATAAGAAAATACAAATGTTTTTTTTTCTTATTTTAAATGTAAATTGTCTTGTTCCAACTGCAAAGAGTCTCACTTACCTCCCCAATTCAAGAAGAATTCACTTATTTTAAGAAAAAAAATGACTTATTTAGATGTTTTAGATTAGATTTTTTGCAGTTTGATTCAAGGGCAGATAATTTCATTAAAAATAGCCAAATGTTCGGGGATGTCAGACTTAAAGTTTACCAGCTTGATGTTTTAAGCTTTTATGTGCTTAAACTTCTCCACAACTCCCTGCCCCTCTGATCCATCAGCAGCTATCTTCCCTTTCTTACTTCTGTTTTTTTTTCCCACTAATGTTCTCTAACAAACCTCAGGCCGTCAGAGAACAGCTGGAGTTCTGTTATACTCTGGTTTATTTTTTGGTATCAGAGTAAAAAGGGGTGTTAAATTCAAACTCAGGACACAGTTTTCAGATTGTGATGGTCTATCACAAGGTCTTCTAAAGTGGGGTCAGGACCTGGTGTCTTGAGACTCAATCTTTTTGATACAATCCTTAAGGTACTCAGAGGGACAGGATATATATATATATATATATATATATATATATATATATATATATATATATATACAAATGTAAATTAAATGAATAAATGTACCACCATATAACTGTAAAATGCACAATTAAATGTACTATTAAATATCTAATATGGCCTTTTAAACGATTAACTAAAATTAAAGTAATTTAAAGTTTTCTCAAATTAAATATAATACCTTCACTTGAATACACATAAATATGCAGCTGGAAAATGACAATATATAGAAAAGCTAATATCATCCGTTATCATTCAGGCATGAATACATTACATAATGCATCCAGAAATACTTTGTTTTAACATTTTAAACATTCACCAAGCAACACATATCAGGCCTGAAAGTTGCACTCAAGAAACAATTCTCTGTCAACACGTTAAAGTGCAATGCTGGAAAATCTGGACACTTCAGCAGGCCTGCAAGAAGTCAGCAACCAATCAAAACCTTTACATTTGTCTCTGTGCCCCAACAGCACAACCCCTCCAGATCAAGCTGAGTATCTGCAGTCTGGAGGCAGGATGGTCTCTCTCCTTCAGTCCTCTCTCAGTCTTCAGGGTTAAAAAAAGAAAAATGCTGATTCTAATGTTTTCAATCTTTGCTGCCTCTGAATGTAGTTGTAGCTTCATGTTGAGCAGCAGAGCACTGCAGGCCTCTTCCACTGACCTTCTCCACCCTTTCAGATGAAAACCTGCTTGAGAAAAAGCTTAATCTAAAAAGCAGAGCTTGGTGATTTAAGATTTGGGCACAGATGGGAAATCATCCAGTGGCATTGCAGCCATTGTCGTCATGAGGTCATAGTTTTAGGATTTCTAAATTACAGAGGCACTGACAGGTCGTTGAATCGTCTTATTTTATAAGACCAGACTAGATCTTAGTCTGGGTTTCTACTAGGGGTGTAAATCACATCCATCATGGCGATTCGATTCAGTATCGATTTCCTGACCCAACGATTCGATTATTTTCGATACTCAAGAATACACCACGATTCGATTCGATTCGATTAATCGATTAATCGGTTATTTTTTTTATTATTTTTTTTTTTTTTTTTACACCTTACAGGCTAAACAAAGTTTCAAGTTTGAAATAAATCAATGAAAGCTGTAATATCATTATGCATTTTCTTTAGAAACAACAGCAAATAACAGAAGTAGAAAAGTTGCATCAAAAAATACTGCAAAAATACTGCACAATATCAGTGTAATGAGTTCAATGCAATACCTCGGCTCCAGAGAAACTGTCCAACATATTTTTTTAGAATGTAATAAATATACTCAGGAAAGAGAGATGTTGCGTAGAGAGTTAGACAGGAATAAAAATAAACTAGATATAAGGAAATTGTTTCAAAGGTCATCTGGGGATGTAGTTTTTGGTAGTATTTTTAATTTTCTAAGAAGAACGGGTATTTTAGGGAGAATATAATAATTTGTCTGGTCCATACTCCATTCTGGAAGGTGGCGGTAATGCACCTATAAGTTGTTTGCCAACCGCCATTAAATAAAAGAAGAAGAAGAAGGCTCCAGTGTCGACGTCACCGCCCCCTTGAGAGACGCTGCACCTCTCCCAGATTGTAGCTGATTGCAAACAGTGCCGCAGACAGGAGGCCGGCTTGTTTTGTTTTTATGACCAAAATTGCGGAAAACAACTCGTGAAGTTCGACCCGCTAGAAGAGCGAGGTGCGCGAGACCGCTGGGACCCTTTTTCCAGCTGAATCTCCGCTCTTTTTTCCCCATTGTCCCTCCGTCGTCGGACTAAACTCGCCCCCACTTCCTCATCGCCTCAGCCGTATCTAGACCCACAGCGTGTAGCCCAGACCACGCTTCAATACTGAGCATAATTTAAAAATGTCTGTGTCAAGCTTGCTGCAACAAACTGCTGTAAGAGTATAACCAGGAAGAGCGGTAGGAGGGCATAATAGGTTTAGCGCCACCGCAGCACGGGAGGGGGAATTACACCCAGGAGCAAATGGATAAAAATAGACCGGAGGAAAAAAAAACATGAATCGATTCTCTTGCGGACGTGTCGATGCATCGGATCGTCGGCTTTTGGATCGATGCATCGATACAAAACGATTATTATTTACACCCCTAGTTTCTACCATGACTTTAATGTCTAAGGAACAATAACTTAGTCTTACTTGATCTTTGATTTTATTTCAGTAAACCAGCATGTGCGATATTTAAAGAACTTAATGAATAGCTTTTTGATTTGGTGGTGCTTATCTAAGAACAGGGCTTTTATAATCATTCTAATATCATCGTAAAGAATTCCAGTTTTACAATTAAATGTCTGATGTGATTAAACTAACTAATGTTTCTTTTTCTCTAAAACATCTTTTTCACATCGCTCTCAGCCATGTTTTATGCTGCAGTGCATCTGTGCTTTGATTGCATTCTAGTTAGCTGTGAAATCTAGTAGACGCTCAACATGGTGAAAGTGATTTTCAGCTCAGTACCTTCAACATAATCCACCAAGCTGCACAGAGAGGCAAAAGAAGGCTCAGAGTCAGAATGAGCCACCAGTTTGGATGTGGTGGGTTTCTAGCACCCTCTACTGGACAAACTGAGTAAATGATAAAGCAACCTTATCCGTTCTTCAGATGTGAGAAAAATTAATCATTAAATCTATTTTTCTTGTATGATTTAAAAAGGATGCAAGACAAAAACTTAAACAATTGGAAATTTATTTCTGTATTAAATATAAATAATTATTTAACCCTGTTGATTTTGGATTTCGTCCCAAAATAGATTAGACTACCAATTAAAAAAAGTCACATGCTGGATAACTACATTAGTAATAGTTGGGTTAAGATTAGTGCCTTATTGTGAGGTTCGAATGGAGAGAGGCAACAGACAGGAGAAAATAGACCGAAACCTGACATGAAAACTGAAAGATTCCCTTCTTGATTAAAAACATTAACAAAACAGAGGGTTTAGAGCAAAAAAAAGAAAGAAAAAGCACACACTATGGGGAAAGCCAGCATAACACGACCAAGGACAGGATGATCTGACAATGACTGGATAGAACCAAAAATCAAAGCAGGAAGGAGGATATTGCAGAAAAAAAAGACCCGGGAAGTGATTACCTGATGCAGAAGAAGAGCTGTGACTGCAGCAGGCAGAAC